TACGAGTCTAGTTTTGTACGTTTTTGGCCTTGCATTGATTGCTCATGTATATTAAGAGAACCGTCAATTTCTTTAAAGTGCTGCAGAAAACAATCTGTTTGAATGTAATAAATTGTAGATAATTATTTTGATAAGCAAATCAAGTGAAACCAATTGGGTTTGAAACTTAGGATATATTAGTTGATATCTGGAGGGTTTTAAAATTTTTGTAATTTTCAAAGTTAGCGAATGGATTGGGAAAACTTGTTTAAAACACTATTTTATCTTAAAATTATTTTTAGTTAAGTTTCGATCGGAACCTATGTCTTGGGTGATTTTAGACCTTGAAGAACATGAACTTAGGTAATATTTAAGAGTAACGGTGAGTTGGGTTGAGCCGTGTTAGTGCACTTTAGTTTGGGGTTACTTAGTTCGTATTCTTTAGTATTTTTAAATTAGTAGTGACGTGTAGTTTTCATATTGGTTCAGGGCACTAGTTGGACTTTCATACTCTATTCGAGGATTATATTATTTTGTTTCCAGGTGAGTAGTTTCATGCTACGTATTTTTATAAATGTTTCCCTACCCTGAACTGTTGGAAAACTAAATTGTTGTTTCAAGACTAAACTGTTTTGATAAATTATTATATTATCAATAGAATCAAATTATTTCTGAAATATGTGTGAACTTGGCATATTGTAAACTATTTGTTTTGGTCTCATGTTTATAATGATGAACTACCATGTTTTGCGAAACTGATGTGTATTGATTATTGGGACCATGTGTGTATTTAGTCCAGGGAAATTATTCCACTGTGTGTGGTGACTCTGGCCACTAGGGAACAGATTCGGGTTGGGCCGTGATGACTCTAGTGCTCAACGATTGTAAGGAAAAGACCTTTAAAAACAACTAGGTGACCTTCAATCGGATAGTCTTTGAGAAAAGGCCCAAGTGCCACCCTGAGGATGACTCTTAGTTCGGTATTGGATCCAACGGGGCTTACAGCCTTGACAACTGTGTGGCATATTATTTGTTTTTCTTGGTACCTAGAAAATTATTGGTGTTCATGTCATAATCTGTTTTAAGTGAAAAATATCGTTTATCATGTTCTTGCGAGACATGAGTATTTTAAGTGTTGAATTGTAGAACCTTCTTTTTGAAACAGATTGTATTTACCAAACTGTATGCCAATCTAGTTTCTGTGATATATATCTTATTTTGGAATTGAACCTTGTTTTCAAAACTGTATTTACTATCCATGTTGCTACTCACTGAGCTATCAGCTGACTTAGTTGTTTACCATTTCCAGGTGTTAGAAGGACTTAGGGTGGACTCATGGCGTAGTTGACACTCGATTAGGGCATTTATTTAATTTGTTTTAGGTTGCCTTGTCGGGTTTTGTGCATACATTGTGGTTGGGTTTTATTTAGAATCATTTTATTTGTGGGCGGTTTGTGTCCCATTCAGTATATATATATTTTTAGGAAGTTGGTTATGACTTGTTTTTCACTTGTGGTATGTCACTGGATTGAGTGTTGATTTATTTATTTCTGGGCTATCATTACATTTATTCTTTATGGTTTTGGATTCATGTTTAGGCTTACGTGTGCCTTGGGCTATGTCCCTGTGGGCCACGGCCGGTTATGCCCGGATTTGGGGTGTGACAATAGAAGTTAGAGGAGTTGCCTGTAGTAAATGAATGTGTTGATGTTTTTCCAGAGGATTTACCTGGTCTTCCTCCAAATAGTAAGGTAGAATTTTCCATTAACTTGGTCCCCAACACAGCACTTATTTCTAAAGCGCCCTATAGAATAGCACCGTTGGAGTTGAGGGAGTTACAAACTCAGTTATAGAAGTTGTTAGACAAAGGTTTTATTAGGCCTAGCATCTCACCTTGGGGAGCACCTGTGTTGTTTGTGAAGAAGAAGAATAGGTCTATGAGATTGTGTATTGATTATAGAGAACTAAACAAAGTCACAGTGAAGAATAGGTATCCTTTGCCACGCATTGATGACCTATTTGACCAGTTGCAGGGAGCTCAAGTATTCTCTAAAATTGACTTGAGGTCAGGCTATCACAGTTGAAGGTCAGGGATGAAGATGTTCCTAAGACTGCTTTTAGAACCTGTTATGGGCATTATGAGTTCTTAATGATACCTTTTAGTCTCACAAATGCACCAGCCGCATTCATGGATTTGATGAATAGAGTATTTAAACCCCAGTTGGATAAATTTGTGGTAGTGTTTATTGATGACATCCTAATTTATTTAAGGAGTAAGAAGGAACATGAGCAGCATTTGAGGGTAGTACTGTAGACCCTTAGGGAGAAAAGAGGTACGCAACTTTCTAGGGCTTACTGGATATTACTGACAGTTTGTGGAAGGATTCTCCTGTATTACTTTGCCACTTACCAATCTCACTAGGAAAGGGGTAAAGTTTGAGTGAAATGATGATTGTGAGCGTAGTTTCCAAGAGTTTAAACATAGGTTGACATCAGCTCCAATCCTTGCCTTACCTATAGATGGTGGTGGTTTTGTGATTTATAGTGATGCTTCATGACAGGGTTTAGGATGTGTGCTCATGCAGCATGGGAAGGTGATTGCTTATACGTCACGACAGTTGAAAGTACATGAGAGAAATTATCCTACGCACGACTTGGAGTTAGCAGCAGTGATTTTCGCTCTTAAGATCTGGCGACATTATTTGTATGGAGAGTCATGTGAGATTTACACTGATCATAAGAGTTTGAAGTATATTTTCACACAAAAGGAACTAAGCTTGAGGTAAAGAAGATGGCCTGAGTTACTAAAAGATTATGATGTGAATATTTTATATCATCCGGGGAAGGCAAATGTGGTTGTAGATGCCTTGAGTAGGAAGGTCGTAGTTGGAGATGTAGCTGCTTTGTCTATTGAGAGTTGTTTGGTGGAAGACATGAGACGTTTAAGGCTTGAGGTTGTTACGCCTGGTGATAGGGCTTATTGTAGTCAATTGACAGTTCAACCGACCTTGAGAAAACGGATTCGTTTAGCTCAGGAGATTGACCCCCAGTGTAAGTGTATTAAAGGAGAGATGGCAGAGGGTAAGCATGTAGATTTTGCGGTTAGTGATGACGGGTTGCTTAGATTCTGTAGCCGAATTTGTGTTCCTACTGGTGGTGATTTGAGGAAGGAGATTATGACGGAGGCACATATATAGGTCTAGTTACAGCATTCATCCTGGAAGCACTAAGATGTATCGGGATCTGCATGAACATTTTTGGTGGAATGGTATGAAGGGAGATATTGCAGAATTTGTGGCTCAGTATTTGGTGTGTCAACAAGTTAAAGTAGAACATCAAAAACCTGCGGGGAAACTATAACCCTTACCTATACCAGAGTGGAAGTGGGATCATGTTACCATGGACTTCGTGTGCGGATTACCTCGTACTAGTAGTAACCATGATGCAGTTTGGGTAGTTGTTGATAGATTAACCAAGTCAGCACATTTTATTGCAGTACGAATGAACCATTCTCTAGCTCAATTTGCACAGTTGTATGTGAAGGAGATTGTTAGATTACATGGTGCACCTATGTCAATAGTGTTAGATCGGGACCCTTGTTTTGTGTCTAAGTTTTGGGGTGCATTACAGTCAACTATGGGTACTCGGTTAAATTTTAGTTCAGCTTATCACCCTCAGACAGATGGGCAATCAGAGAGGACTATTCAAACCCTTGAGGATATGTTGAGGGCTTGTGTTTTGGAATGGAGAGGTAATTGGGATGATTATTTGCCACTTATGGAGTTTGCATAAAATAATAGTTATCATTCTAGTTTGGGAATAGCTCCTTATGAGGCTTTGTATGGGAGGAAGTGTAGGTCTCCTTTGTGTTGGTATGAGGTTGGTGGGAGGCAAATGTTGGGACCTGATTTGGTGGAGGATGCTACACGGAAAATTATCACCATCAGAGAGAGGTTATTGACTGCTCAGAGTAGACAAAAAAGTTACGCTGATCATCATAGAAGAGATTTAGAGTTTCATGTAGGGGATATGGTATTCTTGAAAGTATCACCATGGAAAGGAGTCATCAGGTTTGGAAAGAAAGGAAAGTTGAGTCCTAGACATATTGGTCCATTTGAGGTATTAGAGAAGGTTGGTGAGGTTGCATACCGTGTTGCTCTACCCCCTAGGTTGGCAGTAGTGCATAATGTGTTTCACGTGTCTATGCTGAGGAAATATGTGCACAGTCTGTCACATGTGACAAATTATGAGCCGTTTCAGATTAGAGAGGATTTTTCATATGAGAAGATGCATGTTCAGATCTTGGATTCAAAGGAGAAAATGTTGCGTACAAAGGCCATTAAATTGGTTAAGTTACTGTGGCGTAATCATCTAGTTGAAGAGACGACTTGGGAACGCGAGGACGAGATGCGTTAGAAGTACCCACATCTATTCTCATGATTTACTCAGGTTAGTTTCGAGGACAAGATGAATTGGGTCAACTGAGAAACATTAGTTATTTTGCATTGGGCGAGAACAACCTATCTGGTATGATCCCTACCTCAGCCAGATGCTTCCTCAGCGTCAAGCAATTCAGTTATACGACAACCAATTGACTGGGCCCCTCCCACTCTCACTATCCAATGCGTCAGAATTGAAATATATTTGACATAGGAATTAACTATTTCAATGGGAAAATATCAATTGATTTTTGACACCTAACACATAAGTGGTTCAGAAATCTAGATTCCAACAATTTTGGAAGTGGGGGGAGCGTGATGAAATGGATTTCTTTGGCTCTCTGGCCAATTGTAGTAATTTGGAAGTATTGGATCTGTTTGGTAACAAATTGAGGGGAGTGTTACCAGATCATGTGGGCAATGTTTCAACTAAACTCGATTATTTAGCACGTACAGAGTCATCCCATCAACAGTCGGTACTCTTGTCAATTTAACATACTTAGCTCTACATGATAATCAACTCACTAGCACACTTCCCACCACTGTTGGTAATTTTTAAAAGCTCCAAAGACTGCTGCTTAGTTCTAATCAACTATCAGGAGAAGTTCCTAATTCTATAGGAAACCTGTCACTATTGAATGAACTTCACTTGGATAATAATAGATTACAGGGAATCATACCATCAAACATTGGAAATTGCCAGAGTTTAATATTATTAAACCTATCTCAGAATAACTTTAGTGGTACCATACCAAAACAACTTTTCAGTATTTCCTCTCTCTCAATTTCACTAAATCTAGGTCAGAATAGTTTGTTCGGATCCCTCCCTTCAGAGGTTGGCAACCTAAAGAATTTGGCTGAACTGGATATCTCTGAGAATAAATTGTCTGGTGAAGTTCCAGGTACCCTTGGGAGCTGCACTAGTCTTCAAAACCAATCCTTGGAGGGTAACTTCATTCAAGGGTCTATTCCTTCATCATTGAGCTCCTTAAGAGGTATTCAATACTTCGATCTTTCTCATGACAACTTGTCAGGACAGATTCCCAAATTCTTGGAGCAAATCCCCCTCATGTACTTAAATTTATCATCTAATAATTTTGAGGGTGAGGTTCCAAGCATAGGAATTTTCTCAAATGCAAGTGCAATATCAGTTTCTGGGAATAATAGACTCTGTGGGGGCATTTCTGCACTACAGCTACCAAAATGCACCATCCAAAGATCAAAGAATCAAAAAAATGTCCCTTGCAGCCATATTAATTATTTCTACAGCATGTATGCTTGTTGGAGTAATAATTGTGTCAGCATTTCTGCTCTGCTGGTTTAAGAGGAAAAGGAAAATCAGTCCTATGGATCATTGGCGAGGGAATCATTCATGAAAGTTTCTTACAAAAAACTCCTTAAAGCAACTGACGGGTTTTCTTCAGAAAATTTGATTGGTGGGGGTGGTTTTGGTTCTGTGTACAAGGGAATCCTTGATCAAGATGGATCAGTTGTCGCTGTCAAAGTATTTAACCATACATTCTCGAGGAGCCTCAAAGAGTTTCTTGGCAGAGTGTGAAACCTTAAGAAATATTCAACATATGAACCTCATAAAGATCATAGATTCATAACCGCTTGCTCAACTATTGATTTTCGAGGTAATGATTTTAAAGCTCTAGTGTATGAGTTCATGCCAAATGGGAGTCTCAAGAAGTGGCTGCATTCAAGTTCAGAAACAGATAATAGAGAAGGAAAGCAACAAAGACTCAACCTTCTTCAAAGAATAAACATTGCTATAGATCTGGCGTGTGCACTTGATTTTCTTCATCACCACTGTCAAACGCTGATCATTCATTGTGATCTGAAGCCAAGAAATGTTCTTCTTGACCATGACCTGGCAGCCCATTTTGGTGATTTTGGTTTAGCTAGGTTTCACACCAAGCTCAGTAATCCAAACCATAGCAGTTCTATTGGAATAAGGGGAACTGTTGGATATGCAGCTCCGGGTAACTTTTTATCAAAACTAATGCTAATTTTTCCAATGATTAATTTTTAATTATGTCTAATGTTTTTCCTAAAATGCTTTGGACATTTATCCCGATATACTAATTTCTTTATTCTTTCAGAATATTATCACAGTGTCCTTTTTCTAGGCAAAAGATATTTATCTTTTGTTAACATAAAATTTCATTGCAGAGTATGGTCTAGGAGGTGAGATGTCCCCAAATGGTGATATCTATAGTTATGGGATTTTGTTATTGGAGATGACGACAGTAAGGGAACAACTGACGATATGTTTGTAGGAGACCTTAACCTTCACAACTTTGCTAGGATGGCCTTGCCTGAGCATGTTATCGAAATTGTGGACCCGATACTTCTAAGTAACGACAAAGAAGAAGAATAAGCCCCAACGAATCTGAAAGCAAGACAAGAAATGCAAGCACAATGGCGAAGTGTGTGATTATAATGGTTAATATTGGAGTGGCATGCTTGATGGAGTCACTACAAGATCGAATGAATATTAGGAATGTTCTCTGCGAGCTGCATTTGGTTAGAAACATCCTTCTGCAGGACTGAAGCTTAATTTGCTCCTACAGATTTCGTGGTACGGAAGTTTCAGAAAGAACCTTTGACTCATGGCTTGGTGCATAATCTGAATGCCATATAGTTAAGACAATAAATTAATGTACATATATTAATTTATGGAGGTTTACATATTAGGTTTCTAGCTAGATGTGTCATCTAAAGACATGCTGGTGATTAAATAAAAGCTACCATTCTAAGTCTTGAATCCTGAGGTAAAATGCATGTATATTACACTGGTTTGCTCTAATGAACATGCTTAAAATATATACATATATAAAAAAAGGCATCAAGGAGGAGCCGATTGTGTGCTTCTAAATGAACAATCTTACTGACTTTATTTTGACATAAGTCAGGACTTTCAAATATAAAAAATATTATACAATGTAACAAAGTAATAAAATCAACACTTGTCATGTCATGCAGTGTTAATTTTCTGCACCAAAAAAGTTGACCACCTTATATTAATGGTGATTTTAAATTATCATAATGATTTTTTGTGCTTGAACTAGGTGAATTTTGGTAGTGCCCAAAACTAATCTAGAACGGGTTTATATTTATGCCCTTGAAATCCCATTTTTTGCTCTTTGGTAACTAAATTACTGGACAATACGAAGCTTGATGCTTATCAAAACAGTGAGGAACGGCGTGGAACACTCATTTAAAAGGAAGAGGATTATGATAGTACTTTTATCTTCAAACTGGGACCCTACATGTCACAAAATTTTATAAATAATTTGACTCCCAGATTATTTCCCATTTAGTCCATATGAGAATGATAATGTAATGTCCTCGTGTGGTTTGAGTTTGTGTACCTTTTAATTTTTCTATCCAATGATATTTTTCAAAGGAATTAGTAATTAATGCATGAAAGGGTGTAGAATAATACAATGCAACACTTTGTCGTAAATAAGGGAAACGTGATAAATAATTATTAATAATAAATAACCTTACGAGTATTAAAGGAATTAATAATAAACTACTGCTACCACAAGATCCAAAATAGTTGGGGCTGGAATTAGATATTTGATTTCCTTGCCTTTCATATAAGGTCTAGTTTAAATGACTGACTTTTCAACTGTAAAGGCTCATCAATTATTTACTTATTCCATTGGTTTGTCAAATCATGCAATTAATAAGTAATACCAGAGGAGATCAAGCTACACATTGTTTAAAATTTCAAGCTTGACAAGAGTAACAATAAGTAGAAGAAAAACAAGTTGAGCAAAAAAAATGTTGTCAAAGCTCATATGGAATATATAATTATGAGGACATTTTTGGAGAAAATGAATTTGTTCACACACTTTTTAGTGCGCGAACAATACACAAAACTTGATTGGCCCAAATATGTGAACTTCGTACCCAAAAAGTGTAATGACCCCACCCAAAGTGCTTTGATCTCTCGCCCTCTCTTAGTAGCCTTTGTGAGGGCATAGGAGGACTACAGCTGCATAGATGCTCATACACAAAAACAAATCACAGAATAGATCACAAAACACTTACGATAGTGTCCCATATCCCACACAGAGCCCCACCCTTTGTGAGCTGTAATTTGTTTTATGAACAAGTATCTTTTTCCGTAGTTTACATTTTATGATGGGTCACACTTAAAATGAAACTAAATCACATGTTTTTGAGATTAGATAGCTTTCTTTGAAACCTTTTTTTTGCCTCATTATCTATTTTCACCAAGAAAGCCAATGTAGTAGCAAAGTGGAGCTCCTTATCTACAAGACAACTCCATCAACATCAACACCCAATTTTTCTTGTTAGAAAATATTAAATAAGTTGTAATTTATTTATTTTTAATAATTTTTTGTTTTTTTTCTTCTTCTGTCTTACCATCCCTTGAACCTTTGTTTTATAAATTTTTGTTGAGCCCTATTAACAAAACTAGGCTCAAAAAGTTGATTCATGTTTTAATAAAATTCAATAAAAAAAAATTATATAAAAAACAAATCCATTTTCTTTTTGCTCAAAACAACTTGAGTGGCACTATACTTAAAAAACTTCTGAGAGTCTCATCTCTATCTATATCATTAAATCTAGCGAGTAACCATTTGTTTGGTTCCTTGCCAGTAGAGATTGGAAACCTCAAAAGTTTAGCAGAACTAGATGTCTCTGAGAATGAGTTGTTTGCTGAAATTCCTAGCAGTCTTGGCAGTTGCACTAGCCTTGAAAACTTATATTTGCAGGAAAAATCTCTTCAAAAGATATATTCCTCTAGCATTGGAATCTTAGAGAGGGCTTGAAAACTTTAATCTTTCTCATAACAATTTGTCTGGTGAAATTCCAACTTTCTTAGAGAAATTTTCCATAAAAGAACTCAATTTTTCCAATAATGATTTTGAGGGTGAGTTACCAATGAAGGGAGTTTTCTCAAATGCGAGTGCAATATCAATTGCTGGAAATTATAGGCATTGTGGTAGTATTTCTGAATTACAACTACCCAACTGCACCACCAAGAAACCAAAACTTAAAATGCCCCTTTCACATATATTAGCAATTGTAGTAGCTTCTACTCTTGTTGGAGTAACCTTGGCCTCATTCTTCGTAATTTATTGGTTCAAGAAGAAAAACAGTTTCATTGCTAAAAGAATTATTCTTTGAAAGTCTCTTATGAAAAACTCAAAGCAACAAATGGTTTCTCTTCTTCAAATCTTATTGGTTATGGTAGTTTTGGCTCTGTATATAGAGGAATTCTTGATCAGGATTGGAAGTTAGTTGCCACTATCAAAGTACTTAACCTTCAAAATCGTGGAGCTATCAAGAGTTTCGTGGCAGTGTGTGAAACCTTGAGAAATATTCGACATCGAAACTTGGTCAGAATCATAACTTCTTGTTCCAGTATTGATTTTCAAGGAAATGAGTTTCTTCAGTTGAAAAAAAAAAAAAGAAAAGGAATGAGTTCAAAGCTCAAGTTTATGGATTCATGCCTAATGAGAGTCTAGAGAAGTGGTTGCATTCAAGTCTGAAAACGAATAATCAGCAAAATGAGGTCCGGAGACTCAACATTCTACACAGAATAATCATTTCCATAGATGTGGCCTGTGCACTCAATTATCTTCATCACCAATGCCCAACGCCAATCATTCATTGTGATTTGAAGCCAAGTAATATTCTTCTTGACCATGACATGGTTGCCAGTGTTGGAGATTTTGATCTAGCTATATTTTGCACAAAGCTCACAGTTATAAATCAAAGCAGTTCAATTAGTATAAGGGGAACCATTGGATATGCAGCTCCAGGTAACAACTGCTTTACCTTTCAAATACTCTCACATGTATTGCTTTCATATTATGGCACTCACTGTTGTTAGAATTGATCTTTTTCTCTTTCTTTCATATCATTTTTGTTTTCGGGCAAAAAAGACGCTTAGGGCCTTTGAATGTTAATTTTTTTTAATGGCAGAGTTTGATCTCGGAAGTGAGATGCCAGACGTCTATAGTTATGGAATCTTATTATTGGAAATGACAACAGGGAAGAGACCTACTGATAGCATATTTGAGGAAGGCCTTAATCTTCATACCTTTTCTAGGATGGCCTTGCCTGACCATGTGATGGAGATTGTAGACCCAGTGATCCTAAACAATGAAGAAGAAGAGGTAGAAGCTATTGTTGCAACAGCAGGTAACACTTCGGAACCATTGCAAGTGAACAGTGGTAACAAAATGGTGGAATGTTTAATTTCCATGGTCAAGATTGGAGTGGCATGCTCTACAGAGTCACCACAAGGTCGAATGAGCATGAGTAATATTCTCCATGAACTTCATCTGGTCAAGAAAAAACTTCGTCAAGGCAAACTTTCCACTAGGTATGAAATTAAAGGTCTTGTGTTTAACTTCTTCCCTCTATAGAATTGCAGCTGTCATTTCTTTGACATTGGCTTCAATCCTCTATGGCTTGTCCTGGTTAACAGGAGGCAGCATGGATAACTGGACAATGGTGGGAGCAAACAGGTCATGTTTTCTAGTGTGAGATTTCTAATAATGAGCCTGCCCTTTTCCAATCAAATATCAATTCAAATCATCCAAACCAAGCCTTAAATCCCATCAAATGGGAATTTAAATCATCCAATTGCCCTAAGAATATGAAAAAGTCTATTCTTGTACAAAATTCATGACTGTTGACCAAAATGATACGACAATGACATTTTTGAAAATTGAATCCACTTTGATTTTCATTTTCAAGTAACAAAATCTACCCTTAATCATATCATTATGTAATCTAAAAGTATTGGCCACCATGCCCTTGTGTGGGTATTCTACTCAATTTGAATAATGGTGATTTAAATAATCAATAATGATTTTATGTGCTTGAGTTGCTTGAATTATGTTAGCACCCGGAACCAGTCTTGATTGAGTTCAGGTTTAAAGAAGTTTTGGTCCCTAAAGTATGTACTTTTTGTCATTTTAGTCCCTCAAGTTTTAAAATTTGTCATTTTGGTCCTCAAATTTGTCAATTTGAGCTAGAACCAAATTAACTCAAATCGACGACTTTTAGAAACAAAATGACGAAATTTAAAACTTAAGGGACTAAAATGACAACTAAGAACCAATACTGTCTTTTATCATTTTCCTATTACCAATGTAGACGGATATTAGATTTAGGACCAAATTGACTCAAATTATCAAATTTGAGGACCAAAATAACAAAATTGAAACTTAAGGGACTAAAATAATAAACAACGCATATTTTAGGGATCAATTACACCCCAAATTTCTAATAATTTCAATCTTACCTCAAAAGTTTTTGAAATCGTATCAATTTTGCCTTTGCCGTCACATTTGAAATGGAAAAAGTTTAAAAAAAAAAAATACATTTTGGCCTCAAATTTCAAAAGCAATATGAAACCCACCCTCTTCTATCCAAACTCACCCTCTCCGGCACACTCTCTGGCAACTCGCACCACCACGACCACCGTGACCCCCACTCTTAGGCGCCACTCTCTGACCCCCACAACACCATTGTCACAAACCCTCTCAATCTCCTCCATGTTCTTCTTCTTCTTCTTCTAATCGAGGTTGGTTGTGGCGGCGGCTAGGGAGAAACGCACAAAAAAAAAAAAAAGAAAAAAAAAGTCAACTACAATTTTTACAGATGTCAATATGTACCCATTTCAAAACATCAAAATCCCACAAAAAACAAAGAAAACACAATTCAAAACAATCAGAAAATACACATTCACAGTTCAAAACACCCACAAAAAATCAAAGAAAACCCATTTCAAAACAATCACAAAATACATGATTGGAATTAGGGTTTGGACAGATGTCTACCCATATGCATGTTCCAGTTTGAGTATGCATCTATTTGTGAGGATTTTCTTTTAGTGTTCTTTTAACGTGTTACCATATGGCTGGTGTATTCTTATTTCTTGAGCTACCATCTGCTCATGGTTACATAGCTTTAGAGTAAACATTTACTTATTATCTATTGCTTGGTTTATATTTATTTATCTCCCAGTGCCTCTTCTTCTTGTGGGATATGGTTTTGGAGGTTCATTTGTTGCCCTTTTTGCTCAATTGGGTGGTGGAATATACACAAAAGCAGCTGATGTTGGAGCTAACCTTGTTGGGAAATGTAACACCCCAAATTTCTAGCCCAAATGATAATACAACAATCATGGCTCTTTCAAGGAAAACCGAATATAAATCTCCAAACTTACATTACATGATACAATAGTTCTTCATGCAACAATATATTAATCCAACAACAAGTAAATAAACAAATAAATACCCTTAAGGGTTTACAAGTTTCCAAGGCTTGAGCCTAGTTACACAAAACGATTATTCAAACCCACATACATACAGCCCTTGGCTTACACACAGAGTCACAGCAAAATGAGAGTCTCGTACTCTCAATACACATTTTCTTGCCTTTAGTTAGGCGGCATCACCACATGTTTTCCTGCACAAAAATCTCGTAGGATGAGCATAAAGCCCAGTAGAAAATCCTTAACCAAGGTTTTCAAAAGCGGCCGCAACCGTTACATAACGCTATTACGTAACGGTTTTGGCGGTTACCGCCACCCGTTACGGCCGCTTTTGCAGTGTGATTGAGATTCACAGGTGTGTCGGACGTAGCGGCTGCCATAGCGGTGTCATAAACAGCCATAACGGCCTGTTATGCACCGTTACGTAATGGTTCCAAACTGTTTCTTTCTAAAAAACACACAAAAAAAAGGTGAAAATGGGGGAAGAGGGATAGAGAGAAGAGGGAAGATAAAGAGAGAAAATAGAGAAGCAAGAGATAGAGAGAGAGAGAGAAGAGGGAAGATGAAGAACATGTTATTGATTTGTTGAAACTATAAGACCTATGCTATTCTATTCAGCTGCTATCACTAAACCATTTTGTTTGTGTGTCTATCTATATATTGTTTGAAAATAATAATAATAATGTGTGGTCATTATCTATTTGGCTTGGTTAAAATATGAATATATATATATATATATATTTAGGCTCTTATATATTCTCTTACTTTTGTCATTATTTATCTTATATATAATAGTTAGTGATTAATTTTTTGTAAAATATAAAGTCATTAATTATTAAAATAAAATATAAAAAACTCAGTTTATAGTGATTTAAAAATACGAAATATATTAGATCATACTTAAAAATTTACAAAAATTGATCAATATTTATTTTTAATCCAATAAATATGATCATGGAAAAAAATATATGCATATCGGTAAGTTTTTTTCAAATTGTGCGAAAAATAAAAAAATTCACGGTTCCGGTTACCGCAACCGTTACACTACGGCCTTTACACACCGCAACCGCAACCGCGTCACCGCCACCGTTACGGCGACCGCAACCGCTTTTCAGAACCTTGTCCTTAACAAAGTATATACATTTTATACAAATCTCAAGAGATGAAATGCACATGCCATGCTATGCCCTTTGAAAGAAAATCGTATCTTCATCTTTGAAAACCATCATGCTCAATGATGTCATGCAATTTCAATTCTTCAAAGCTTAACAATTCATTTCAAGAGCGGTAAATACGACTCTGGTAATCCCTAAGTCGGTGTCTGCAAGTAGACTATACACTTATGTCATTTTTACCGGTATTAATCGGAATGCTTGACACCTATCTGCATAGGTTTTCGGTCTTTCACCCCGGACTCTCAGGCCAATTTATTCAATATCATCTACACCACCTATCAAGACTTACCAACATATTTATCCCAAAACCATCCCATGAAACTTGTTTCTCAACATTCTTTTCTCAATGCAAGTTTTCAAATCAACTTTCAAAGTTTAACGTAATCAATGAATTGATATGCCAATAACACAAAATGAATATAAATACTTTTATTCCAATTCATCATACAAAGAATAACACAGTTCACTCGTCTCAAGTATCCTCAACAATTAGTCATTTCAAGACTATTTCAACGTTTTGAACAATAATTTTCAAAATGAACAATAATTCTCATATTCCCTGAAATTCATCATTTATATAAATATAAATAAGAAATTTTCCCAACATCCATTTATTTTGACACACAAAATAAATATAACAATATCATTCATGGATTTTCAATCTCTTAAAAAAAATTCCCAAATTCTAGATTTTCTCACCAAAACTATACAACTCAAATCTTTTGAAAGTAAACTTTCCAAAATCATATTTTCTTCAATCAACGAAGATCAAAACCCATAAGATCATTTTAAAAGAACAAGCGACAAACCCACTTTCAAAATCGCTCAACTTCTTGAATCAACAATCAATTTTCAAAGTAATCGAAAGATGATTTCGAAAATCATATAGATCTTGTGAATATATATATATATATAACTCTAAGAAAATCCCAACCTCACGTTTTGAAGAAGAAATGAGAAGAAACTTCAAAATTTACAGTGTCGAAACTCGATCTCCACCGCACACAACGAAGCCCTCGAGAAGTTACACAACTTTGATAAAGAACTTCAGTCTAACTCCCAACAGATCTTGAGAAATCAAGGTTTTGATCCAATTTGGCGTAGGGAAATGTAGAGAGAAGGGAGAGGAAATGTTTTTAGAGGGAGAGAGATATACAAAAGTGATCTGAAATATCAGATTCACGAACTGATATACCATGGTCCGCTCGAGCGTCGAATACACCTTCCCAGTACTTTTGCAGACAGGTCAAACTTTTGAAACCAAACATTCTCCGCTCGAGCGCATAAACGACCACTCGAGCGGACAAGCAACTTCGAATGCATTTTGCATTTTTGCTTCGGGGGCGCTTTCCTTCGACCCTGCCAGGGCGCTATCCTTGGACTCGCCAAAGGGCGCTACCCCCTTGACCTCCGCGAGCTAACCGGGCAGCTCGATCCCCGACCTACCCAGTCGAAGTGGCAAAACATGAAAGAAGGGTCGAAACCGAGATCGCTACAGGAAAGTAGAGCAAGGGATACCTGAAGATGATCCTCGCAATCCTGCCTTCATTGCTGATTTGGTATTTAATCAATGCCTTATTTATCTTCTTCATTTAGATATGCATACATAGAAAGTATTGCAGCTTGGAATGAATTTAGAGTATGAGATTGGATTCTTACACATAAATTAGAATTTGGAGTAAATAAAGCTGGCGGACTATAGTACTTGGTTTGCTACTATGGTTGCTGATATAAACCATTATCAGCAACAATGGTGGGTCAGAGAGTGGCACCGAAAAGTGGACTTGCAATAATGGTGCCAGAGAGGGTGAGTTTGTGTAGGAGACGGTGAGTTTGCATCTTTCTTTTGAAATTTGAGGCCAAAATGCAATTTTTTTTAACTTTTTCCATTTCAAAGGGAAAAATTGATACGATTTCAAAAACTTTTGAGGTAAAATTGAAATTACTCGAAGTCTGGGGGTGTAATTGATCATCAAGGAAAAGTACAGCGTAAAAATGAAATTTTTTCAAATATGTAATTAACCCAACTCAGAAATAAAGTAAAATGTGCATTTTCACTGATGATTGATGTTATACATTAAGAAAAAATATTAAGAACATATATAAATTTTGAACTTGTAATGTAGATTTAAACTCGGTGTAATATGAATCACAACCAAAATCAATCAGATCAACACATCTCAAATGCTCACAATTTTTTTGAATAGGTAACATTACTTTTCACTAAATGTACCAAATGTAGAGTTGGCTCAAACAATGTGGAAGTAAGGCTATTACCTCATAAATCCATCTCTTTCAACTTATTTCAGATCCTAAAAGAGTGTCTTTGATGAAATGCAATTTAGCTAAAACATCATTAATGCACATTCTTTCTCTAGGCAGTTCTGAAGAACAATTGACTCCAATTTCAAGTATCCAACTCAAGCACTCCACAATCTTTTCACTCCGTATGAAAGTTTCTTCTTCTTCTTTGGTCTGCAAAAGTATTGGGTCTGAAATCTTCAATACACTGTCAGGCAAAGCCTTATTTACAAAGCTATGGAGGCTTAAACCATCTTTAAACATTTCATTGGTGGGTCTCTTCCCAGTAAACATTTCTAACACGAGAATGCCAAAACTATAGATATCACCATATGTTGAGACCTCACTTCCCATAGCATACTCTGCAAGCGAAAATGCATTTGATAAAAATAGAATTTGAAAACCCTTTAAAAAAAATTGTTCCCTAAACAAAAAAGTCTGAGAACTATGCACAGAAAAAACAATAAACGCTCCAGATCACATGTACAATTTTCTTTACACTTTTTGTGAAATGTAGCATTATTGTAAAAAAGGACAAGGATGATAGGGAACCTAAGTGTTTTTGCTTTAATATCATTTTGGGAATGAAACAATTAAGAATAAATGAAAGCATATTCACCTGGAGCAACATAACCTATTGTTCCCCTTATGCCAATAGAGCTTGTTTCATTTGCAGACAAGTCATGGGTGGCATGGTCTGCAAGGAATTTCACTATCCCAAAATCACCAACATGCCCAGTCATATCTTTGTCCAGAAGAATGTTGCTTGGCTTAAGATCGCAGTGAATTATTGGTGTTTGACCATGGTTATGAAGATAATTTAGTGCACAAACAATATCAATGACAATATTTAGTCTTTGAAAAAGATTTAACTTCCTAAACTCTTCATTTGACAAATCTTCATTACAAGTTGGATGTAACCACTCCTCGAGGCTCCCATTGACCATGAATTCATAAACCAAGGCCTTGAAGTCATGACCCTGATAATCTACCGTCGAACATGCCGTTAGCACCTTGACAAGATTCCGATGTCTGATGTTTCTTAGGGCCTCACATTCGGATACAAAACTCTTCGAAGCTCCATGTCTCAAAAGGTTGAGTACTTTTATAGCGACAATTCTTCCATCAATAACTCCTTTGTACACAGACCCGAAACTACCAACACCGATTAAATTGAATGATGAGAAGCCATCAGTGGCTTTAACAAGAGTTTGGTAAGACACCCTCAAGAGTGAATTTTTTATTGAATCTGAAGGAATATCTTTTCTTCTCTTTCTAAACCGGAAAAGATACAGAACATAGCCCAGAAGAGCTAGTCCTACAAGCCCAAAGGGTATAGACAGTGCTAAAGTTAAGGCACTGTTTGATCTCCTCTTTTCATCCACTTGGAAGTTGCATTTAGGTAGCTTCAATTCAACTACACCCCCACAGAGCTTACTGTTTCCCACCACTGATATTGCACTTGCATTACTGAATACACCTTGTGTTGGTACTACACCTTCAAAATTATTAAAAGACAGATTCAAATTTTGCAACAAAATAAAGCTCTCCAAGTACGCTGGAATTTCACCAGACAAGCTATTATTCGCGAGATCCAACTCACTAAGGCCTCTCAAGAAACTCAAAGAAGAAGGAATGGTTCCGTTGAAAAAGTTGTTCCCCAAACGTAGCGTTTCCAGGCTTGTGCAGCTACTCAGAGTGCTCGGAATTTCACCTGATAACAGGTTCTTAGAGACATCCAAGTAACCAAGGTTTATCAACTTTGCAACTTCCATGGGAAGAGAACCACTCAATTGGTTTTGGGATAGGTCTAGATACATAGATAAGGATGAGATAGAAACAACTTGTTTTGGTATGGTACCATTAAGGTTGTTTTGAGAAAGAAACAAAAATTGCAAGGTTCTACAATTCCCTAGGCTCGGAGGAATGTTTCCCTGAAAATTATTACTTTCTAACATAAGTCCAATTAACAAACTCAGATTTCCTAGGGAAGATGGAATGTTACCAGACAATGAATTTTTGATGAGATTCAATAGGTGTAGATTTTGAAGCTTTCCAATCCCACTTGGAATAGTACCAGTGAGTTGATTAACCTGCATAAGCAAACTCTGCAAGCCAACAAGATTTGCAATCCCGGGTGGAATGCTTCCGAATATCTGATTGTGGTCTACAAACAAATATTCAAGGTTTCTCGAGAGATTACCGATGTATTCTGGCAACTTGCCGCCAAAATTGTTCATACTCACTTCCAAACGCTGTAAATTGGTAGCATTGATCAAAGAGAACTTAAAGCTCAAGTCATCAGCTTCCCCAGATCCAAGCTGATTGTCCCAAATGCATAGCCACCGGAGGTTTTGCAGCCTCTCTAAATTAGGAACCTTTCCAGTAAGTTTGTTTTGAAGCAGAAATAGTTGATGGAGTTTAGATGCATTTGATATTGAAACCGGAATTGATCCTGTAAAATGGTTATGACCAATGTTGAAGAATTCAAGATTGGGAAGAGTGATGCCCAAGTCCCAGGGAAGACTTCCCTGGATTTGGTTAATAGTGACATCAAACGCTGTGAGAGAAGAGTGGTTGAAGAGCGAAGGAGGGATGGTGCCGGACAACCTGTTGATGCCGAGTTCGAGCTCCTGAAGATTCTTTAATCGACCAAAACCATCAGGAATGCTTCCGTCAAAGTAGTTGTTGGCTAAAAACAATATGAAAAGAGATGACAAATTCGCGAAAGGAGATATACTCCCTGTAAGATTGTTGTTGCTTAAAATTACTGTCTTGAGCTTTGACAAGGATCCAAGTTCCACAGGAACTTCTTCCACCAGCCCATTGTAAGAAAAATCCAAGGAAATTAGGTTAGCACAACGAGATAAATTGACAGGAATTCGGCCACCAACTGAGTTGTTGTTCAGCAGCAAAATCTTCAGCCTTGGCAAACGGCCAATGTCGGGGGGAATTTCATTGCCAAAGCTATTGTTCTGAAGCTGTAATTCTCTCAGAAAGCTTAAATTCCCAAGGTGTGGTGATATTGATCCCACCAGTTCCCGGGACTGTAAGTCCAAGGCAATGACCCTCTGATGCCTGCGGCCGCAGATAATGCCCTGCCATTGGCAGAAGTGGATGGAATCATTCCAGGAGCTCAAAACATGGAGTGGATCATCAACTATTTTGGCCTTGATTGCCAACAGTGAAAGTCGGTCCGTCTCGTTCCCCATTAGCCGGGAGCGGGATATGGTAGTAGTAAAGCCAGAGTTTAGAATGCTCAAACAACATAAGAGTATTAGATGAATATGCAAATTGTGAACTAAGCATGACATGCTCAAGCTTAAGCTTCGAAGCCCCATTGAGCAAAGAAAATGTATGACTGTGTTTTGGTGGATTGCTTTTATGCCAAGTATCTTTCATGGCCGGCTCTGGGAAACTGCCGCTTTGACCCGCCAGATTAGGATTAAAAAATAGGGTCCATATAGGATTAAAATTTAACATAATCTATTTTTTGTTAGACCTCAATTAAAGAGATGACCGCAACACCAAACTAAAAAATATTAGTAGAACAACCCATTTACTTATCAAAATAAGTTCAACGCTTACTCTCCATTTGGATTGAGAGATAAGAAATAAAAAAGGAAAATGGTTATAATCTCTCACCTTCTTGTTTAGATCAATTATGTTTAAATACAGCCTACAAATTAAATATTTAAATCAACAATATATTATGTTAGGCGTGTCAACATAATTAAATATTTAAATCAACATATTTTAATTTTCATGATAACACAGTCTTCTGTTTATACATTTTTTCTTTTTCTTTTTGATTTCTTTGTCACATTTTTTTTTTTAATTTCAAAATCTCTACTTTCTTACCTTTTCATTCTAATTTTTACCATACAAACATATATATATATATAATATAACTCTCATGTATTTATCGCGTAGGACAAAGTGTATTGATAGAAAATGTAGATGATTTTCCTCTCTTATCCTCATTTCATAGTCACATTTTTGTCCCATGATAACTGGATTTTGTTAAAGATTTAAAAATAAAGTAACAAAAGAGGGATATTAACACTTGTATAGGAACCAAAGTGGAATTTGAGTAAAAGTGTAAAGGGTTAAGTGTCATGATTTCATATACAAAGATCAAAGCGGGATTTGACTAGGAGTGTAGGAGTTAACTGTCATGATTTTATGTGTAGGTGTCAAAGTGAAATTTAATGTAAAGTGTAGGGGTATCAAAAAAATTGTTGACAATATTTTCAGGCATGGATTATCCTAGTATATATATGGAGAAGCTTGCACCTAATTTGTCATGTAGAGTGGGCCAATGCTATTTTTTTAGAGGAATTAATAATGAATGCATAAACGGATGTAGAATACTTATGCAACACTTGTCATTTTGCACTATTGATTCATAATTTCCTCTTATGTACTCCACGGAAAATTAATTGACAAACAAATTTTTAATATAAAAAAATATTTAAAATGACATGACAATAATATTTTCGTATTAAGAATTTATGCAAAATCTCTCGTTCCATTACTTGGTCAAGTTAAACAAGGTTTAACAAAGACTTGCAACAGTGAGATGCATAGTATAAAAAAAGACATAATTAAGGTCATGACTCATTGGCTAGAGTTTTCTAATACTACAAGGGTAAGAGCATCTCCAACAGTAGTAGGCATTTTACCTATCTAAATATTACTATAAAGTATATATTTTATTTTGCCTATCAACTGTTTTATGTTTTTACTCCAACCATGCTCTTTATTTTAGCTATTAATCCAAATATTATTAATTTAATAGAATGCCACGTCAACAACAAAGATGGAGGGAAATGATCCTAATGATTGAATACATTTTGCCTAGCGTTAAAGGCTAGCTACATGTAGCTAGTGAATTTTAGTTGAGCCAAAATGCCTAATCATATGCCTAGTGCGTTGGAATTGAAAAAAGTGAATCACACTAGGCATTTTAACTAACAAGTATTATATGCCTAGTGCATTGGAGATGCTCTAACAAGTAGAAGAAGGTGATACATATGAGAAATTTGAATTGAATGACATTCAACTAAAACTAAGCTCCTTCTCTCTGCTGCAGCCTAGCATCACAAAAATATTCCATTCAACTTTTAATTATAAGTTACTATTTTTGCTTATTATTATAAGATATGCAAAAAAATAAAGAAATGATATGACCCAAATAAGTTAATAAGCTGGACTTTTTTAATTTATTTCAAAAGAATATAATTTTAAAAAATAGATTAAATTTATTCCATGAATGATGCTACAACCAATGAAAAAAAAAAAGTTATATAAAATTATAATTTCAAAAATATCAATTATACCTTGATAATCAATTTAACCTATATGTACTTTTATAATTTCAATTTTATACCTAAACTATTTGATTTTGGATCAATTTTACCCCTGTCATTAGCTTCCGTTACAATCAAACGGAAGATGCTGACGTGACACCGAAATTTCGTTAGAAATTTTATTTTGCCACCCCAAACTATCCCAAAAATATCAATTATACCCCCAAACTTCATATTCTTTGGGGGTCTAACTGATATTCTGAGGATATGACGACAGAGATGAAATTGATCCAAAATTGATAGTTTAGGTGTAAAATTGAAATTATAAGAAGTACAAGGATAAAATTGATTATTGAGATATAGTTTAAGGGGAAAATGATATTTTCTCCATCAATTTATTAACTATTTTAGTCTTTTATTGGCTACTTTAGCACCCCAAAAAAAAATAAAATAAAACGTGTTGAAGGAGGAGGAGAAGGTGAATGTAAGAGAGAGAGAGAGAGAGAGAGAGAGAGAGAGAGTAGATTGATAATATTCTCAATTTTAATCATAAAAAAATTGAGAAACTTTTCAAGACTGATAATATTCTTAGTTAATACTAGAAAAAAAAATTAAGAAATTTCTTAGTTTTGATAATTATAAACTGAAATCATTCTCAGTTTTGAAATTGAGAACATTCTCAGTTTATAATATTCTCAATTTTAATCATGAAAAAATTTGAGAAATTTCTCAAAACTGATAATATTTTCAGTTCATACTAGAAAAAAAATTGAGAAATTTCTTAGTTTTGATAATTATAAACTGAAATCATTTTCTGTTTTGAAATTGAAAGCATTCTCAGGTTTGGCATTGACCCAATTTTCGGCGATAGACGACAAACGATGAACGAAAACAAAAAGCAAGAACCTACACGATTTCGACAAGGCGGCACTATCACAGCTATTGAAGGAGGCATAACAGAGCTTTCTTCTGGATTGCAAAGATCAAAAGAAGAGGTTTGCAAACATTCGTGACAAGGGGTAAAATTGTCTCATAAATAGAATTCAGGACTTTTCAGATTAAAAATCTTAGAGTAGGACTTGAAGTACTATGTGTCTTGTAAACAGGACTTTTCGATAATTAACTGATATTTTTTTCATTTTTTAAATTAAGTTATAATTAATTTAATCATTTGTGTGTCTCTTTAACCTATTCAAACAAAACTAGTAGTTCACATTTATAACTAATTTATTTAGTAATACATAATTTATGCTAAGAAAAAATAAAATTAAACAATATAAAAAATATATATTATATAATGTAGTTTGTGAGTGGCCAAGCCGAATTGGGCTTGAAACAATTTTTCCTAGCACGGTGTTATCCAACCTAACTCTATTGGTCTAAATCATAATCCACCCCTTATAAATCATAAACGAGCTTAGTGAGCCATTAGGTATCCACATATACTTACCGTAATCCCATCATCTCTGATGCAATCCAATTAATCAAACGTTATATTAAAAATAAATAAATAAACATGATCCAATCCCCTAAAATAAACATATCACCATGGTCGGACCTTATTATTATAAGAGCATTTGCATTAAACTAAATAAATTTTTATTATATTTTCATTTAAAAATTGTTTCTTTTATTTTGACTATACACTTCTTAATACATTCCCATCAAACTCGTTGATAGGAGTGAAGCTTGTGTATGGGATGAGTCTGTTTTACCTTTTAATTTCTGTAGCTCTTCAACCTGTTTAATGGATTCCCATTTTGTATGAAGAAAAATTGTAAAACCCAAGTTATATGTAGAATTATTTTTGGATAAAGTAGTAGTTAAATTAATTTGTATGGGTAATTTAGTAATTTTAAGGAATTAGGTTCATAACCCTTTATGTAAAAGAAGAAGAACAAAAGGGAAAAAAAAAGAGAAAGAAAATGGAGCCGCGTGATGCTGCGGAAGGCGAAGGCAGCAAGGGATTAGAAAAGTTAAAGGTGAAGGGAACAAGGGTTTGAAAAAGTTTAAAAAAAACAAAAAATAAAACAAAACAAAACCAAAGTGAAGAGGGAGGATTCATAGAGTGGTGGTTTTGCTTTATTCATCACTTAGGGAAGATTTATTTTATTGTATTCCTATCTATGATTTTAGTGTTAATATATCAATAGATGATTTTGTGGGCATTTATGATTAAATAAATATATTGATGTAGTCTATGTTGGGGGTCTTGATTTTGCTCAATTTTAGAGTGTATTTTGCATTCCGTTTGGGTGGTTCATACTTTGAGATTGATATGTGATGGGTTAAGTTTAATGGTGGTGTGTTTGTGGCATACAAGTTTGGCTACAAGCAATTACAAATTTATACATGTATATGAACAACAATAGGATAATATAGGTTGAGAATTTCCGAAGCCGTGATGGCTTTGTTTTGATACTGAATTATGGGGGTTCCTAATAGACAATTGGATTAATTTATTCTATTGTTGCTACAAGAAGAGAAGGATGGGTGCAAATAATAATTGTTTATATAGTGTAATATTTTATTAGGTTTGTAAGATTGAGGTGGATCTTGGTAATTTGAGATTAGCTTGGGAAATATTATTTTAGCTGTTTGAGGTAAGTAACCTTCTATCACTGTTGGTATATTTTTATTCCTACTGAATCGTTTAAAATTATAAGTATTTATTTATAGCCTTCATGTTCTCTTAAACTAAAATATGAGTCAAGTATAAAACAGTATCGAATATTATTATGAAAATTATTTGAATATTTTTTGAAACGAGTCTGAAAATTGTACCAAAGGTTTATTTTGAAAATATCGAATATTTTATTTAAAAGTTGTGTATTGTTTGAATTTTGAACATCACTCTAGTCTGACTACGATTTGGACCCTAGCCAATGGGGGTTATTTATTGGCACATAAACTAGTTTCTTTTGGGGCTTTACCACCGGCCTATGTATGGTTCTGGGCCTTGTCACGGGCTAAGTGACCGTAGTCACCAAGACTTGGGTTTTGTGAATCGAATCATTGAACCGTCTCAATATTGAACCATCGATTTGAACAACGAATTACTTTAAATTATCTTGTTGGCTTTTCATTTAAAATGTATTGTACATTG